ACAATGTTAAATAGGAGTGGTGATAAAGGGCATCCTTGTCTTGTTCCTGTTCTCAAGGGGAATGTTTTTGGCCTCTCTCCATTAAGAATGATGTTGGTGGGGCAACATGGCGCTATAGACAGAAGCACCATGCCGTCCCTCCACAGCAAAGGACAGAAAAACTAAGTCAAATAGAGTCACACATCAATCCTGAAACCCTATGCGTCAAATGAGGAGATAAATATCTCAACCAACCACTGAATGGAATAAGAAACTGACCAAGAACAGTGCACTAGGAGAGATACATGCAGAAGTCCCCTATCAGCTACCACAGCATGCATCTGCCATCTTGGACTCCTTTCGGAGATCAGTGAACAAGGGGTACGAGAAAACAGCTTTGCAGAGCTTCCAGAAAGAGACAGAATAAACGGTAAACAGCGATATAGGCTTTCCCACCCCCCACCCTTCTTCACCCCCACTTAGCCTGCTCTGCTTCCTGCAACTGCAGTCTGTTGGCTGGGAAACACCCTGGTGTCGCTTGGATTCCACCCACCTGAAATGGCCAGCTCCCTGAGTGCCTTTTGTTGGCTACTGGTGTTGCTTTTTTCCACTTCTTTAGATTTTTTTCCTTACCTCTCACCACCTTCCCCTCCTTTCTTTCAAATACCTGGTTCCGTGCACCATCTTTGCTTCTTCCTAAAAGGCTGCGAAACACCGCTTGACTGTGAAACTGCTTCCTGGCCCTTGCTGCCAGGCTGATAGGACCCCCAGGGCTTATTTGTTTGCTTGTTTGTGTGTTTGCTATGATTTGCTCTGTTTTGATTTGTTTGTTTGTTTTCTTTTTCTTTTCTTTGCTTGGGAGCCCCTTCTTGCCAAACAGTACCACCCAGCTTGGAAGTTACTCTCTTACTCTGCACAGACACACAGGGACATCCTTGCCAGCATTTGTTTTTTCTTTCTTTTTTTTTAATTTTTTTATTGTAATTTGATGAAGGTTTACAGAATAGTTTTTCATTAAACAGTCAGTACACATATTGGTTTAT